GTGCTTTTCCGAATTAATGAGAGAAAACATTGATTCTCCTGCTGCCCACGAAGGTGGAAAGTGAAGTGGGGAGACATGTGGGGAATGAGCAAGGTTCCCTGTCTGGGGGTTCCAAATCTGCTGTTGGTTTCTTTCACCACTGACTAGAGATATACAGGGTGTCCCCCCAAAATGTATACACACTTTGAATACCTACTAATTCCAATGGTTTTAAGCATAAGAAAGAAACAACAATGGAGCTGTTATCTGTTAAAAGTGTGGGCACAAACAGGTAGTTGGACATTCCCTGAGGGGTCTCAGATTGGAGAGGGTGAAGGCCAGACTGAGGGGCCCCTTCTCCCTCCCTACCCCAGTGCACGAATTTCGTGCACCGGGCTACTAGTGTTATATAATCTTTTTGAACAAAATTTTCTCACTACACTACATTGGTCTTTATTAGTTAACATGATTTTTATTAGTGCTTTGTCTGCTGGATGGAGAAAATAATTCCTTTTTTTTGAGCCTACTTACCTGGGTTGTCATAATCATTGTCTTCCCAGTGCTCTTCATTTGCTAGCAGTGGGTTCTGTGATTCATTCATGCACCTCATAGGGAAGGAGTGTCCATCACCAGGGCTGGTGGGGAAAAGGAGGCAATGAGCTCTTGCATCTAACAGATATTTTTGTAAGGTAAAAACCCTATTAGAAATAAGAAAGGAGTTCTTAGCAAGATTTAAATCATTTAGATTACTGGCTAGAGCAGTAGTGGAACAGAATCTTACAATAGCATCATTTAGTTGCTGTATTGCTTTCAATTTCTATATCTTGTTTTTCTGCATAAGTGTTGACTAAGCATTGTGAGAAACAAGTTAGAGTTGCTTACAAACAAAAACATTCTATGTGTGCAAAGAACACATCATAATATTTAATGTTGATGATCCCAATTTATATCCCACTATTTTATTGATTGCTTCTAAATTTTTTAAGAGAATTAGCAGATTCAGAATCTTTGAATGCAGTGGAAATAAGTTTCTGTGAATTGGTGATATATAATAATGTCTGAATGCCCCATTATTTGATTTTTATGGCAGAAAGGTTATTAGGAATTGGGGGAAAGAGCCAGAGTGTGGCATTCCTAAGAGGGCAGATTCTGGGTGCAATTTTCTGCATGTGGAATCCATCTAATGGATATCTATGTTAATCTAGGACCACCTTCCAGGTTACTCTTTGGCTACTAAGAGATGGGATGCATTGGAGGAGACTGAACTGACTAAAGGAGGTTACAATTTGAACATTTGAGTTTTTAGATCTGAACTAGAGGCCCGGTGCATGAAATTCTTGCACGGGGGGGTATGGGGGTCCCTCAGCCTGGCCTGCACCTTCTCCAATCCAGGACCCATTGGGGGATGTCTGACTGCCAGTTTAGGCCCAATCCCGCAGGGACATCCCTCATGCAATCTGGGACTGCTGGCTCCTAACTGCTTGCCTGCCTGCCTGCCTGCCTGATCACCCCTAACAACCTCTGCCTGTCAGCCTGATCACCCTAACTGCTCTCCCCTGCCGCCTGATCACCCCTAACTGCCACTGCCTCAGCCCTGCCACCGTGGCTTTGTCCGGAAGGACATCTGGAAGGTTGTCCGGAAGATGTTTGGTCTAATTAGCATATTACCCTTTTATTAATATAGATGCACTCCAGATTTGTAGGAATGACTTTTGCATTATTCATTTTATATTACCTATGCCTTTTATCCTGTTTACAAATATGTTTTACTGAAAATCCTCTGCCCACTTTTTAGTTAGATTGTTTGTTTGTTGTTGAGTTGTATGAGTTATTTGTAAATTTTGGATATTAACCCCTTATCAGATGTATCATTAGTGAATATCTTCTCCCATTCAGTACGTTGCCTTTTGTTTTGTTGATGGTTTCCCTTGCTGTGTAAAAACTTTTTAGTTTGATGTAGTCCAATTTGTTTATATATTTCCTTTGTTTTCCTTGTTGAGGAGATATATTAGAAAAAATATTGCTAAGATAAATGTCAGGGATTTTACTGCTGATTTTTTCTTCTAGGATTTTAATGATTTCATGACTTATATTTGTCATTTATTCATTTTTAATTTACTATTGTGTGTGTGTAATTTGGTAGTCTAGTTTCATCTTCACTTATCTGTCCAATTTTCCCAATACTATTTATTGCTTAAACTATCTTTACCTCACTGTATATGCTTGCCTCCTAATTTATAGATTAATTGACCATGTAGGTGTGGGTTTCTTTGGGGCTTTTATTTTGTCCCATTGGTCTCTGTGTGTGTTTCTATGCCAGTACTGTGATGTTTTTGTTATTATAGCCTTGTAGTATAGTTTCATATCAGGTAGTATGATGACTCCAACTTTGAACCTCTTTTTAAGGATTTCTGTGGCTATTCAGGGTCTTTTGTATTCCCATATAAATTTTAGGATGATTTGCTGTATTTCTGTAAAAAAAATATCATTGGTATTTTGATAGGCATTGTATTGAATCTATAGATTGGTTTGGATAATATGAACATTTTAATGATGTTAATTCTTCCAATCCATGATCATGGTATATGCTTCCATTTATTTGTGTCTTCTTCAGTTTATTTCCTTAATGTCTTACAATTTTCCAAATACAGATATTTTACCTCCTTGGTTTAATATATTCCCAGGCATTTTATTTGTTTTCTTAATTTCCCTTTCTGATAGTTTATTATTGGTATGTAAAATGCAACTGATTTCTGAACACTATTTTTGTATCCTGATACTGTACTTAATTCATCAGTTCTAATAGGTTTTGTTGGGGTCTTTAGGATTCTCTATATATAGTATCATGCCATCTGCAAATAATGACAGTCTCACTTCTTTCTTTCCAACTTGGATACTTGTTATTTCATTTTCTTGTCTGATTGCTGTGGCTACAGCTTCCAATACCAGGTTGAATATGAGTGGTGAAAGTGGACATCCTTATACTGTTCCTGATCTTAGTGAAAATGCTTCTAGTATGTACCATTAAGTATCACATTTGCTGTGAGTTTGTCATATATGTCCTTTATTGTGTTGAAGTATGTTACCTCTATTCCAATTTTGCTGAGTTTTTATCATAAATGGAGGTTGAATGTTTTCAAATTCCTTTTCACATCTATTGATATGATCATATGATTTTTATCCCTCATTTTGTTTCTGTTGTGTATCACATGAATTGATTTGTGAACATTGAGATAACCTTGCATTCCAGGAATAAATCCTAGTTTTTAATGTATTGCTGAATTCAATTTGTTAATATTTTCTTGAGGATTTTTATAGCTAATTTCATCAAGAATATTGGCCTACAATTTTTATTTTTTAAATGTCTATTTCTGGTTTTGGAATGAAGATAATTCTGGCTTTGTAAAATGAGTTTAAGAGCCTTCCCTCCTACTGACATTTTTTATTAGTTTGAGAAAGATACGTGTTAGTTCTTTGAATGTTTGTAAGAAGTTAATGTGTGAAGCCATCTGTTACAGAACTTTTGTTTATTGGAGTTTTATTTTTTAAATTACTGATTCAGTTTCCTAAGTAGTTATTGGTCTGTTCATATTTTCTATTGCTTCTTGATTCAGTCTTGGAAGATTGTATATTTCTAGGAATTTACCTACTTCTTCAAGATTGTACATTTTGGGAAGACAAAATGGTGGCGGAATAGGTGGACATGTCCAGAGCCTTGAGCAAGAGCGGATTGAATGAGCAACTAAATTGAATAACATCCACCCTGAATTGGCAAAGTAGACACAGCTAGTGAGACTATTAGCAGCTGGGAAGGGCAGAGGATGCCTAGAGAAGAGTAAAATCATGGATGTGGGCTGGAGAGAACTGTGAGACCTCCGAGCCCAGAGGGTCAGAAGGAAGCTGCAGGGCACAGAGGCCACATCCCTTGGGACAGGGGTAGCATCTGACTGTGGAAAGGATGTCCACAGGACTGCTGGTGGAAAGGGATTCTAGATCTAAGTCCACAGCCATGAGAGACTGAGCCCAGAGGGGGCAGCCATTCAGAGGGGAGAGGGATTAGCAGTGGTGCAGCTTTCTCCTCTTTTTGGTCTTTGCTTTTATTCCTTAAACCTAGTTCATAGGAACTTTCAAATACAAACACTCACCCGTAGCTGAAGTGCAGGTGGAGGTGCGGACTTGTGGAGTCTGGGGAGAGGCTGGGGAGAGGAGAGGGTCTGGGAAAGGTGGCCGAAAGTCTGGAGCTGAGTCACTGCTGATGTGCTGGACCTAGGCAGCTATTTTATCCTGAAGAGATAGCCCCTCCCTGCAGTCTCCAGGCAACCAATACAGCCACACCCAGACTACACCCTGAGTGGTACAAAGGATACAAAACCAGCCCTCATGGGGAATTAAAACTCGGCAGAAAGGAACAACACTTCACTTTTTCATTTTTATTTTATTTTATTATCATTTTGTTATCTCTTTTTTCTGTATTTTCCCTTTTTCGTTTGTTTCTTTTTTGTTAAAGGTTGGTAAATTCTTTTTTAAAAAAATATATATTTTATTGATTTTTTACAGAGAGGAAGGGAGAGGAATAGAGAGTTAGAAACATCGATGAGAGAGAAACATCGATCAGCTGCCTCCTGCACACCCCCTGCTGGGGATGTGCCCGGGCTGACACTCTATCCACTGAGCCAAACCGGTTAGGGCTCGTTTGTTTCTTTATTTTCTATTTCTTTTTGCATTATTTTTCATCATTCAAATTTTTTTATTTTATCCTATTTTTAATTATTTTTTAAAAATTTATTATTTTTTCTTCTCTTTCTCTTTCTTCTTATCCACTCATCCTCTTTCTACTTCCTCTATACTGAACTGAGGTCCTCCCCATATTCATC